AAGTTTTTTTCCTAAATTTCAGTTGAATATTATATATACATTCACGGTATTTAACCAACGTAATGAAGACGTCTCTGTAGTTACTTTTTCATCGTCTCTACCCGTAGACACGGTGCTTTTGAGCAAACATAGACAGCCGTGGAGCCAGTGGGTTTTAATAGTAGAAGTAATAACATTATAGGGAAGTAACCAATACAAGGAAAAACTAATTTCAATCCGAAAAGGATTTTAGGATTTTATATCGGTTGTTAAATTTCCTAGAACCTTCTGCAAACAACTATAAACCTCAAATGACTTGCTCTTGTTTATCCGTTCAATGAACCTGTTAAAAATGAATTGAATCTAACTAAATGTTAAGTGCTACAGAGATTTATGACGAATTTGAAAATCTATGTTCTTTCTGTGGCAAAAATTGATGATGGGTCCTACAAGAACTCTTTTGAAATGAAAAGAAAGACATTATTTAACAGTTTAGCAAAACAAATTTCTAAAGTACTGAGTCTACTAGAACAGTGTTGTCGTGAGTAAAGTTCACTTGGTTAAAGAGCTGTTCTTTTGGTAACGCCACTTTTTTAAGAAACTTTACCAACTGCATCACTTCTTCCGTTAGCCATCGCATTACCACATATAGTAATTACAACCATTTCACCCCTTAATTTTTTCCCCCTGTCCCCTCTCTGATCTTAAATTTAGTATATAAGTTCAATTGTTGTAAAAAAAATTTAAAAAAAAATAATTTGCTGCAATTGTAATCTGAGCCACCACTATCTGTTTCTGCTGAAACTGTCGCAACCACATTTTTTAATTTGCTGTAATTATATGAGATCAACGTCTACTAAAATAATAACAAATAAAAAGTAAGAACAATTTTTATGAATGCCTTCCAGTAGGCGATTAATCCAGAACTGAGTGAAAAGTTAGTATTTTAATTTATATCAACGTCGAAATTGTTTTAAGCTCTTTCAAGTGAAGTTTTTGAAAGTCCCCATGTTTTCAAGCTTTCGCTTCTGAGCAACAGCCCTGTGAGGCACTGCTGAGCTGTTCAGGTGGATTTTTTCACTGAAGACTTTGAAGAACTTTATCTACGTTCATTTCAAATCGAGTAAGATCTTTGTCCTAAATTCTTTTGCTGAAGCACTTGAAAAAAGTTATTAATTTATTCAAAGTAAATCAACTCTTTTATTAACAAACTCAATCAACGGCGAAACTCTAAACAGAACATAACCAATAAAATTACTAAAATTTAATCTTAAGTTGAACTTTCAAAAAACACCGTGCAACCTTTTTTTTACATCAAACTTTCTTCTTTTGTTTCTTGAAAGCTATAAGGAAACAGCTGTTTTCAGTTAAGAAGATTTTTGTAGCAGTATAAATGTGATGAAAAACTGCTAAGCAAACAAAGAAGCACAATAAGCATTTCCAAATATTGTCATAATGTTTCACCTTTTCTGTCAGCAAAATTCTTACCAATTTTCACTGTTGTGGTAACTTCTCCCGTTGGAAATGGTTGCAGTACAGAAGAAAAAAAGTGCTGAACACTAAGAATGAGCTGGGATCAACTGTAGAAGAAACGCATGAAGCAGAAAAAACTTATCAACGAACAACTTTTAATTGTGATTTCTTGTTATTCAAGTGGATAAAATAAAATAATGAAATAAACTTGACACTTACCTGAAACGTAATCATAGAGTACCAAAATGGTAGCACCAAATCGTTTTTAATAGCCAAAAATTGGTCTCTGATAACATATTTTAAGGTATAGCAAAATCTAGCAGCATTTGCACGCTGACCAGCGATACGCAACCGAGTATCAACAGCCTCATACCGACCATTTTCTGGACCAATTTATCGAAAAGTTTTTCTCAAAAACTATAAATTCCTGACATCGTGAAACTAATTAAAATATATTAGTGGTATCAAAAAATAAATATATCAGTAACGACAAAGAAAGCAGAAAAAAATGAAGAAGGTAATTGAATATAACGTCATTTTGCACAACTCTTCATAGTGATCAAATTTTATACCTCGCCAACCTGTTATATTCGGCAACACTAGCAATGTCAGACATTTCCCAATCACAAAAAAATTTGGATGATAAATAAAATTCACTGCAATAACATAGGAAAGAAAGTGTAGATATTTTAAAAGAAATATATTAGTTAAAAAAACAGCTAACAGGTTCAACAAAATAACGTAAAATTGCTTTAGATAAACCTACCACGAAGAACAAATTTTTGTCATTGTAGATTAAAAAACTGCGGATTTATCCCATTCTCCGCTCATTTTTTCGCCGTTACATGTTTTCTTCTTTTTCCTTAACAAGAGCATTAGCCACTTAAGTGAGCACTGTGTTTGTGCTGCACAATTTTTTTTTTTCTTGTAATAAAATGAACACAGTTATTTCACTAAAATTTCACCAAAACTGAAAAATATTAGCATCTTTTTGCTACAAAAATAGTTTCATGCCCCGAATTGGAATCAGGAAGACAGATGGATGACAGCGATGATACAAGCTGGGCAGTGGTGCACTTCTAAGATATAATTAAGGTCTGCTTGAAAAGAAAATATAAAACGAAACGCAGATTACAGCCTTTAAGTTGTCTGACACCAGTTTCATGCACTTCATGCTGTGCATATAGAGGCCGCTTGTTGTTATATGTACTTTGATT